GGGGATAAGAGGCTTCACACAGAGGACACCAGGTGGGCAGCTCAGATGACTCCAGCCATCCCCCCACCTGGCTGGAATGTTTCAGGCAGGACTCAGATCCTGCTGACAGACTGACCATGAGATCACAGCCTCTTCTGAGGCTGACACACCACTCTGTATTCCTCCCAATCTGGAAACCACACCAGAAAAGGCATCCCCACACCTCTGTCCCCCACCAACAACCTGTCTTTGTTCATAGAGGCCTCGTCGGCCTTGGAGACTGGAGTCTGAAGCCCCCTGCATTCTCCCTGTTTATTAGTTGGGAGTCTTTCAGGTACAGATGACAGAAAACCCAACCTGAACTAGCCTAAACCGGGAGGAAATTTGCTGGCTTGTTTAACTGAATATTCTGCATGGCTGGACTGAAGCCCTCAAGCAATGTCATCAGAATTGAGGTTCCTCTGCCTCTTGACTCAGTTCTGCTCCTCACTGAGTAGTCTGCAGCCTCATCTTCCCAGCCTCTTAAGTTCAAATCCCTGAGGGACCAAACCATATGTTTCTTTCCTTTCCGGCAACCCCAAAAAATAAATAAAATAAAAAAATAAAAAATCCCAGAACTCCTTCTGATTGGATGACTTGGGTCATGTGCCAACTCTGACCCAACCAATGCAGCCAGGGCACCTCAGGTCACTGATTGGCCCAGACCAAGTCACGTGTTCTGCCCTGGGGCTTGTCTGAGTGTGCTAGAGGGGAAGTTCAGAAAGAAAGCTATGGCCTGGTGGCTTACGCCTGTAATCTCAGCTACTCAGGAGGCTGAAGCAGGCGAATCGCTTGAACCCGGGAGGCAGAGGTTGTAGTGAGCCGAGATCACGCCACTGCCCTGGGCGACAGAGCTAGACTCCATCTAAAAGAAAACAAAGCTGGACGTTGCTTCAGGGCATTACTGCCAAGAAAAGGGTGAAGGAATGGCTGCTGGTAACAAAAATAATAGATGTCCCCTGGGACCTTATGGAATCCACCAGCAGCTCCTTTCAGTAAGGGATCTGCTCCCTGCCCAGAGCCTCACAGTAGGGTCCTCACATGGGTGCTTGTAAAATGAGGTTGCTCTAAGTGACCACCTGGTACTTCTTGTTGCTGTGGGTGACAGCCTTGACAGAGAATCCATGGAGGCACACCATCGATCCTTGGCTGTGCTCAGGACTTCATGGAATCCACACCAGTCACTGGCTGCCAGGCCTTCTCTGCAAACGATGCATGTGTCATTCACCCAGTATATAAATAGGGTCAGTGTGCCAGGCGGCCTTAAAATGTTTCAGCCATGTTTCCTAATCTGTGCTTCCTTCACCTCTCTGAGCTCAGGGCAAACCCATGAGCATAGGCTGAGGTATCCCGAGAGGAAGAGCTCAGAGCACAGCTCTGCCCCATTCCCTGGCTGGCTCTGCCCATGCCTCCACGGGCTTGGGGTACAGGGAGGACAAGCAGCGACACTGCAAAACTGACCACACTTGCATCCAGGAGATAGGCTGCTGGGCAGACAGGTTGGGGATAGCAGGGGGCCAGGCCTGTGAGGCCCAGCCAGACCGAAGCAGGCCCCAAATAACATGGGGCCCAGGGATTCCATCCTCATGAAGCCGCTCCCACCAGGAGGGGACCACGCAGCGGCCAGGGCCCTGAGGCAGGCAGGGCTGGCCTGTATCTAGGACACAGGCATCCAACCCGCAGAGGTGGCTCGGTAGAGGCAGGCTAGGGCCCTAGAGGGACTGAGATCTGGGAGGAGTTATGAAAGGCCAGAGGCTGAGGATACCGACCCCAGGGCTTGTGATAGCAGTAGAGGAAAAGCAGTACTGGATCCTGGGACTGTGTAGCCCACAGCCAAGAGAGCCAGGAAGTAGAGCTGGGAGCCCCTGACTCCCCGCCCCCCAATCTAGTGACTAAGTCATTCTAGTCATTCCAGTGAACGCCCCCCATTCAAACTCTCAAACTCCCCTAGTGTGCACTCAGGGCAGCAGTCCCAGTGAGGATATGTTGGGTCCAGTGACGGTGTGTGGAGTCCAGCGAGGGAGCGTGGAGTCCAGTCAGCGAGGGAGCGTGGGGTCCAGTCAGCGAGGGAGCGTGGGGTCCAGTCAGCGAGGGAGCGTGGGGTCCAGTCAGCGAGGGTGCGTGGGGTCCAGTCAGCGAGGGAGGTGGAGCCCAGTGAGGGTGTGTGGAGTCCAGTGAGGGAGCGTGGGGTCCAGTCAGCGAGGGAGGTGGAGTCCAGTGAGGGAGGGTAGAGTCCAGTGAGGGAGGTGGACTCCAATGAAGGTGTGTGGTGTGCAGTGAGGGTGTGTGGAGTCCAGTGAGGGAGGTAGAGTCCAGTGAGGGAGGGTGGACTCCAGTGAGGGTGTGTGGAGTCCAGTGAGGGAGGTAGAGTCCAGTGAGGGAGGGTGGACTCCAGTGAGGGTGTGCGGTGTGCAGTGAGGGTGTGTGGAGTCCAGTGAGGGAGGGTGGAGTCCAGTGAGGGTGTGTGGAGTCCAGTGAGGGTGTGTGGAGTCCAGTGAGGGAGGGTGGAGTCCAGTGAGGGAGGTAGAGTCCAGTGAGGGAGGGTGGAGTCCAGTGAGGGAGGTAGAGTCCAGTGAGGGAGGGTGGAGTCCAGTGAGGGAGGGTGGAGTCCAGTGAGGGAGCATGGAGTCCAGTGAGTGAGGGTGTGTGGAGTCCAGTGAGGGAGTGTGGAGTCGAGTGAGGCTGTGTACAGTCCTCCATGAGGGCCTGCATTTTCTGTGTGCTGTACTTGGTGCTAGAGATAACTGAGGAACAGGCCCACCCCAAGAGGGCAGTGTACACACCAAGCATGTCAACAGAGCATGGCAGGAGCACCTGTGGCCACAGGGACGCCCAAGACCGTGGAAGAATGGACCCCTGCTTCCAGCTTTAGTTCCACATAAAGGACTCAGTCCTTAGGAGGGGGCATCAGTCGCCCAGAGGAAGGCCTGGGAAATGACCACTGACTGTCACATCTGACTGGGGTTCCAGCAACACAGAGGGAGAAAGGTCTTGTTTGGGTGAGGGGATCAGGGTGGTGGAGGGTGACTGACATTGCCTACCTTGGGACCAGGGCCCACTGAAGGGTCTTTCCTGGACGGAACAGAATTCAGGGGCACGCTTTACAGTTCCTCTGTGTCCACCAGAGGGCACTCATTCCTTGCTAATCTTTTAACCCGGGCTCCAGTGGGAGGCCATTCGGGGACTTTGGGAGTGGTATCAAGGTGACTCCGAGCCCTGAGGCATATCCTCAGGCAGTGGTTAATTCTGTGCTAGGTTCAGGACTAGGGGCAAGTGTGTTCTGCTAGAAGCAGCAAATGCTGTTCCTGGCCAAACCTTTGGTTGGATGAGGCAGCTCAGACAGCGGAGGCAGTAAGCTCTGCTGATGTTAGGTGTCTCAGGGGGACCCTAGCAAGGCAGCCCTGGGCCCTGGCTCATGCCTCATCCTATTGTTGCCATTTTGCAGAGGAGGGGATTGAGGACCACAAAATTCAGTTACTCGCCTCATGCTAACATGGCTGCCATGTCTGTGTGCAGACCCCCTTTCAGGGGGCCTTGCCATAGTGGTTCTGAGCAGGACCGCAGCCTGAAGGAGCTGGGTTAGACCTGCTCTCAGCTCCAAGCGCTGCCTGCCCTGTGTGGCCTTCTTTCACAGCCTTCGCCTGCACTCCTGCCTTAGAGACATCCTCCTGGGCGACAAGCTTGGGAACATTGCAGTACTGAGTTGCCTTGAGTGGCAGAACAGAGAGGAGCCAGTGTTTTGGCTCCAGACCCTCCCTTTCTTCCCTGGATGAGCCATGATGCAGATACCCAAGCTGTGCAGAGGGTGTGGGGTAGACACAGGTCAGAGGGTCCTTCCTACCTAGGCCTCAAACTGCCCCTGATCCTGATGGCAGCTGCCTGGGGACATGCTGAACAAGCGGCCTGAGCAGCCCCATGAGGGTGACTAAGCTCCAGCCAGAGAAGGGCAAGGTCCCCCCAGAACTCTGGCGGTGTGAACCACAAAGGTGGGGGAGGGGCATAGAATGGAGCGGACATGGGGTCAAGGGGCAGGCAGGGGGAACTGGTCTCTCTTGCTCTCTTAAATGCACCCATTTCCCTCCTTCCCGGTGTCTCCCTTAACCCAGGCCAGGCCTCTGCAGACACTTGAGTCTGCTCCTGGGAGTTTTCCTACAAGCTCCTTGATGGCTTCCTCAGGTCCTACCTGGGCAACAGGCCCACTGGCAGTGCCTATACAGGCCCCTGCCCCTGCAGCTCTCATTGGAGGATCCCAGAAGGTTCTTGGTGAGCTCTTATCCTCACCTCCACCTCTGAGGGCATGAGCTGGTAGCACTTCCTCCAGTTGGTTATCCTGACCCACTGCTCACAGCTCGTGTGTGAAAATTCAAACAGCACAATAACTTCTCCAACCATGTTCAAGGGGCAGGGTGGGCCTGCCCAACTAAGCTAAGGGACCTGGAGACTAAAGGTTGGATGACGGCCAGGCTGCACCAGTGCCAAACCAAAACCCTAGGCATCCTGAGGCCGGCAGGTAACACACGCCGCCGGCAGGGGGAGCCACGTCATGGAGCTAACCCGGTGAGGCCTGCAGAGGCAGCTACCACTTGGAGGAGTCTCGGGAAGCTTGGCAAGTTCCCTTTTGGCCTGTACCATCACCACCCTGCGCTCCACAGAATGGCAGTCCCGTGTGGCCTGTTTCCAGTGTCTAGGACTGCATACCCCCACACCTCCAGGGCACCAGAGTCCCCATGTGGCACCCAGTGATGAAGTCCTCCTCCCCAGTTAAGGCTTCTTAGGACAATCACTGACTGCCCCAGTAGGCAGCACCCCACCCAACTGCAGCTCAGTCCCTGCCCACCCACCAGACTGCTGCCCATCACAGGGCATATCCAACTGCCTCCCAAAAGGTCTTCAACCCACTGTCCCCGGGATCCTCCCCATCCTATCCTCATGCCCTGGAAGGTCTGAAGAAACTGAAACAGAAAAACTAGGCTTGAGACAGCTTTGTTAGAACAACTCAGCAAAATAAAATTCCTGTTTATTGTTGGACAACATTGTTTCACACATACATCAAACAGGCCAAAAAAAATAAACAGCAACTTCATAGACAAAAAAGGAAAAAAAAGAAACCTTTTATCTTTGGCCTTTTTAACCATCTCATACAAACCAACTACTTATAGTACAGCTAAGTACATACACAAAAAAGTTACTGGAATGCTCGGAATAAGATTGTTTTTCTGTTGTCGTTTTTGCTTTTTTTACAAGGTTTTTTTTCTCCTTTGAGATTATAATGAACATGGTCACACCACAAGTAAAGTCAGAAGTAGGACAGAGAACGCTCCGAAGGCTGGTTTGGTCATCCGAGATCATTAAAAATGGCTGACCCTAACAATATGTACAAAAATATAAAATGTAAATAAAAAATACAAACAAATTTCCTTTTTAAAGTACTTTTAAGAAAAAAAGCAGGGCCTTGGAAGTTTTGGTTCTTTTTTCCTCCCCTGTTGCAAATTCTCATGGTTTGGGTGGGGTGGTGGAGAGCGCGTGTCATCTGCGGGTGGCACTGCCCACGGTGGGCGGGCGGGCGGGCCTCTCTACTCGAAGGTGACCACGTTTAGATTCTGAGACGGGAAGTGGAGGGTGAATAGGTCACGGCGGCCTTTTTTTTTTAGTTTAACTTTTCCTTTTTTGCTGTCTAGTCATCCTCGTCAGTCTTCTGCTTCTTGGTATCAACATCGTCATCCTGGGCAGAGAAAGACTGTCAAAGGCCCCTCCAACCCCAGGGGCCCTACCCAGCCCACTGCCTCAGCTCCCACAGGCAGAGCAAGAACGAGGGACCCTCAGCTCCACAGCCCAAAGCCTTTGCTCTGGGAAGTTGAGCCCAGCCCTGTTCCTTCCTGTTCTTAAGATTCAGGACCACACAGTGGCCAATGTCAGAAACAGTCCCTCCGTGGCTTGAGCACCTCCGCTACAGGTAGGTGGGGAGACCCAGATGCCAAACCCCCCTTCTTCTCAAGCCAGAACCCACCTCATCATCTTCAGCTGCCCGCTTGCCCGTAGCTGACTCAGCTTCCTCATCTTCATCTCCATCCTCTTCCTCACCTGGAGAATCAAAGGCCAGGTAAACCACACTTCCCTCCCACTGTGGCTCCTGGGGAAATCCGGAGGAACATGTGGCGGACTGCAAGGTCCCTGCCCTGCCTCTGCTGCCTGCAACTGGGCCCAATCAGGACACACATGCCCACTGCACAGGTGGGAATCTCCAGAGGACAGAGGCCCAAGCAGCTGCACCCCAAGAAGCTAGCCCAACAGATCAGTGGCTTTCAGAGCTGCACGAAACAAACTTTTAGGTGTGCGAGTGAGTGTGAGTGGGCGTGGGCACAGTTCCTTGTCAGGGAGACCCTCCCTGACTCTACAGGTGGGTGCCCACGGTCATGTGGTCCACTGGCCCCAAGTACCATGGTCCCACTCCCAGGAGCCCCAACTCCTTCCCCTTCTGCCAGACAAGACCAAGAAGAAGTACCTGAAAACGGGAAGACAGACAAGGCTACTCACCATCACCTTCTTCTTCCTCCTCCTCTTCCTCCCCACCTTCTTCCTCTTCTTCATCTACCTCATTGTCAGCCTCTTGCTCCCCATTTTCCTCATTCTCCTCGACAGAAAACAGACCACGTTCTTTACCAGCTGGCCCAGGGATGGACAGAGCGTTGCTCCTGATGCCCAGTCTCCCACCAGAGGCTGCCAGCTACATCTACAGCCAAGCCCACCCCAGAGGCTCTTCTCCAGTCAACACCCTCCAGGCTCCATCATGAACCCTGCACATTAACTGCCCCAAGGCAAGGGCAAGGGCTTCCCCCACCCTGGGACAAGCCCAAACTCAGACTACCGGAGCTCCTCTTAACCTATTCTTGTTCAGGCGCTGCTCGAAAGGTTTTTATAAATATTTAACTAGCAATATTCGCGCCTCGGGTAAAGCTCACTGGCTACGATACTGCCACTGTGCAAAGCTATATATATATATATGTTTAAAGTAGAGGAGGAAAAACTGCGGGGCGGTAGCTGCCAGGGCTCAGGAGCAAGGCGGACACTCACAGCATTCCCGTTAGCAGGGGCGTCTCTTCCATTTTCTGCCTCTTCCACAACTTCCTTCTTCTCCTTTAAGTCCTTCAAAAGGGAAGAAGGAACCAGTAACCAGTAAGTCTTCCGAGCAACCCCAGGGTAAGCAAAGGCGCTTACTACTGGTCTGTTGCGTCCATCCCAAATTAAGAGTCGCACGCGACACGTGGAGAAGGGCCTAATGTCCCTGCGGTCCCTCTCCCACTGGTCCCTTTCCCACTGGTCCGGTGAAAGGAAGGCCGGCGGGGGCATCTGTGATCGGGTTTCCCATCCTTTAAGGCCCGCTACAGCGGCCCCTGTGGCGGTTCCCACTGCCCCCTGGCGCTTCCTAGGAAAGGAGCCATGTGGCGCCACAGCCCCAACCCGTCGGGCCGGGTGGACGAGCCCCGGACACTCACGCCCATCAGCCTGCTTCCAAGTGCAAGGAACCCGCCCCTCGAGCCGTCTAGGAAGGTGGCAGGATATGTCCCAGAAATAAATAAGGCAAGGAGGGAGGGGCCTGCGCTCGGGGAGGGCCCCACTGGCGCGCCAGCCTGGAAGACCCGCGAGAACGCACCGCCCCGGCCAGATCAGGTCTCTGAAAAAAACCAAAGCACACTGACCCCCAAATCCGACCGCTATTCCTAGAGGCCGCAAACCGCTGCTTGGCGGTGCCCCAGGCCGGGGCCTGCCTCCGGAGTAACCAAGTCCCGGCCTCCCCGCGAAGGCTAGGGGTCCCGACCGCACCTCGTGGGTGGGACTCCGCCCAGGATCCAAAAGGCAGCGCCGCCCCGGGCGCCCGGTAATTTTTTCCACACGACACAGCCGCCAATACCAACAGGCGTCCCGGCCTGCGGGACCCCTCGGCCCACCTGTCGGCCCACCCCGCTCCCCGGACCCCGGACCCCAGCTCCGCCCGCTCTCGCCCCCTGGCGGACAAAGTCCCGGGGAGCTGTGGGGGCAGGGAGGTCGCGGCGCGCAGGCGCGCATCCCCCGCCCGGCGGGCTTTGCGCGCGGGCCTCTGCACGCACCGCGCGCAGGGAGCACGTGGCTTGGAGCCGCCGAGTGCGTCCCTTGCCTTGGAGACTCCGGGCGGATAGGCAGAGCGCACAGTGCCAAGCGCGCGGGTGGCGCGTCGGTCGGTTGGCCTCTCGACTCGACGCCCCACTGCCGCCACCGCGGCAGGCCCGAATGTCTGCATATGCCGGGCCAAGTCCCGCGGGAGGTCGCCCCGAAGTCCGCCGGGCTGCTTAGGTCCGAGACCGTCGGGGATGCGCCTCTCGGGCTACTTCATCGCCCTCGCGGGAAGTCACCTTTCGGTGCTTCGCAGAAAATCGAACACCCAGGCCCCGCAATGGGGACGGTGTTCTCCCCCAACAAACTGGTTCCCGGACTGAGCCCAGAAGGGGCCACTGAGAGCCCCTACGGAGATACCGGGCCCGAGCTCCGCTGTGCCAAGAAGTCGGCACTGCGAGAGCCAGAGGTGACGCCAGGGGCACAAGAGTTAAGGAGACGCCAAGGTGACTCGCGCCAATCCCCGCAGGGGCACGAGGGGCGCGGACGAGGGCCGAAAGATGAAGAAAAAGCCAGTCAGTCTGAGCGCGCTGCGCTCCCGCCGAGGGCGGAGACGCTACCCAGGGCGGGCAGTGGGACCGAGGCGGCGCCGACAGCAGGAGCCGAGCCGCGCCAGCCGCTCAGGACCTCACAGCCGAGAGCGGTGAACCCGCCACGGGGCCCGGGCGCCCCCCCAGTTCGACCCTACCATCGGCCTGTCGCGGCCGCCGTGTTGGCCCGCGTCGCCCCGAGCTGCGGCGCACACGGTACTCCCGGGCAGCCGCGGGGGGCGCCCATCGTCGCCCTAGCGCCGTGCTTCACTTTCTCTTTCCTCCCTGCGGCGCGTGGGCTCTCGCCTCCTCAGCCAAGCCCGGCACCGCGGGTGCATGACTGAAGCTGGGCGGCCGCTCCCGGCGCACTCGCCTCGAAGGGCGCCCACCCCCGCCTCCCAGAGCGCCCAAAGCGGATAAGCCCGTCACACCTCCGCGGGGACTGCCGACGTCGCGGCCAGCCGGCCCGTCGCCCCATCCGCCTTATTGGGGCTTAGTCCAGATAAACCACCTCAGGTCCGCTGCAGGGCGCGAAACCGGCAGCCTGGCGCCGAACAAAGAGCAGCGCGGCCGGCGGGCGCTCGCCGCCACTTCCCGCGGCCGGCCCGCGCCCCAACACGCGCCCCCCAGCACTTCCGATTCCCAACGCGCTCGAGTTTCAAAGTTATTTCCGTGCGCCCGGCGGGCCGGCGACCCCCAGACAGGCCCTTCCCCTCCCGCCGCCACTCAGACGGCTCACAGACGAGTTTCGAGAGCCGTGAGCGGGCCTCGGCGCCTAGCCCTCGGCCCCTGAGGGCGCCCGGCCCACTCCCCGACGGGCATCACGTCTGCCCGCGGCGGTTCCCGCCCCCTCCCCCGCACCACACAAAGAGTGGGCTGCCTGAGGGCACCGCGCCGGGGGCGGGCCATTTCCCCGAGAGAGGGAGCAACAGCGGGCTTGAGGCAGTCCAGCTGCTGCGCGCCGAACACCGCCCGGGCGACGGCGCGCGGACCCCGAGGGGGCGGGCGGCGTCCAGCCTCACCTTGGTGGTGATTTCGGAGCTGGTGTCTACGGCTGCGTCTGACATGGTGGGGCACGCCGGTGATCCGATGCAGGGGATTTAAAAAGAAAGCGAGAGTTCAGGGACTCTGGCGATAAAGCTGCCGGAGTCCGCGGCGGCGGAGGAAGCGCGCGGCGGAGGCGGCTGCGGCGAGCAAGGAGGCGGACCAGGAACAATGCAAAGATGGCTTTTCAGAGCAGCCAGTGGGGGACTCACGCGGCGCCAGAAGCTTTAATATAGATTAGTGGGCGGCGCTCGGCTTCCCATGCCCGGCCTCTATTGGCTGAGCGCAGGGAGCGGGCGCTCGCTCATTGGCTCGATTCCGAACAATGGACAAGCGTGCTTAAAGCGGCAGTGCCCCGGCGCGTCCCGCGCTGCGCAGTCGCCGGTCGCACTGTCATTCAAGGCCTGATTTTGCCGGGTCTCAGCGGCGCCGAGTCCGCGGGGGAGGGGTGCGCGAGCGCGTTCCGGACGCGCGCTCCCGCAGCTGTTTTGCTGGGGCTGCTGACGCAGAAAGCCAAAGCGCGGCAAAGCTGCCCGCCCAGCCCCCTTCCCCCTCCCTCCCGCCCTCCCCGCGACTGCTCGGAAGGAGGGGGAGGGAAGAGGGGGCGGCGGCGGGCGCACGACGGCTGCCAGCGCGGGGGAGGGGACGGCGGGGTGCTGGGCCGCTCTCGCCCCGGGCGGTGCCCAGCGCAGTGCCCGCGGAGGTGCCCGCCCCCCGCGCCTGGGCGCCTTCGACCAAGGATTGTCCCAGTGCAAGTGGACGGCAGCCCCACGACGAGCAACGAGGTCCCGAGGCCGAGACCCGGGCACCTGGGCCGCCCCGTCTCTCTGCCATATCCTCGTGCCCGCCCAGGGCAGAGCACCCAGTCTTGTGGGCAGGCGACCCAGTTTGCCCACCATCAGGTCCGGCGTCCGTCGGCCAAGCCAGTCGAAAAGCAGGCACCGGGTCAAGCGCACAGAGGGATTCATGTATCAAGGGGACTCGATGCCCGATGCCGCGATGCGCGATGTCCCTCGAGTGGGATAGTCCGCGGGTCCCTCACGGCATAGCGGTCCCCTCACTCTAGGGCTCTGGTTAGGGTCTGTCCCGAGCGGTCACTGCCGTCGCGACAGCTTCAGGGCAGCCTCCTCCAGGGGCCCGCCGGGTCATCGAGTCTACCCTTCTCCCACCCCACTGCTGGACTGCGATGGGCACATAAACATTACAGAGTTACTCGGGGAAAATAATCATCTCTTGAGCCAATTGGGCTAATCTTTGGGGACTGCCTGAAATTTGGGGGGCCATTAGAGAACCATGCGGAGCCCCGAGAAAGGGGAGCATCAAGACGCCACACTCAAGATGGCGCCGGGCTCGGCAAGGGTGGCGTGACGTTGCGATCTAACTCATGTGGGCGATCTGACAACAGCTGGCTACGCCAGCCTTATCGCCACCGCACTTGGCTGTCGAACTAAGAGATCGGTTGTGTGGGGAAAAAGACCAGAATAGGTGGAAAGATAGTCCAGAAATTTACCTGTGCCACACACAAGATGGCGAGAGGTAGGGTTCGTCCCTGTGCTGCCAAAAGGGGGCGCCCGACACGGAAGGCGGGACTCCGGAGAGACGAGCGCACATTGGCCGAGAGTGGCGGGCGAACACAAAGTTGACGCTTTGCGTCCTTCCATTGGCAGTTTCTTCCGTCTGTCTCTCCGGTGCAGCCGAGCTGGGAATGGGGAAAACCCGGACTGTGGGATCCTGGAGGGCGGACGATGCCAAGTCCAGCAGAGCTTGCCCTGCGGGTTAGAAGAGAGACAGTCTCCCTTCTCGGTTTCATTAGGTAATGGGCGACATGGTTCCATCTCCACAACGGGGCTTTGCTGAGCTTAGCACGCACTCTCCCGGCGGGGAGGAGGCGCGCAGTGCCGGGCGCCACCCCCTCTCCCGCACGGGTTAGGACAGCATCCGTGTTCCCAGGTGCCTGTCTGGCCGCTGGACTGTTGGCCTTTCCGGGGCGAGTTTTACTTTAGGAAGAAGCCCGGGCTCCAGGTACTTCAGCCTGAGGAAACGTGGGACAGATGCTGGGCAGGGCGGGGATACCGCGCCAACCCCAGCTGCCCAGCGGTCGCCCTCCTTTGCAGCGGCGAAGGAACGCCCCCCTGGGTCTCCGCCCTGCCCCCAGGCGCCCCAGTGGCTAGAGGTGGCATTCTCCTCTGGACGGGCGCGCCCCAATTCGGGGGACTCCCACAGTGCTGTTCTCGAGGACCACGCGTCTCAACTCTTTGTCCAGTCCCCTGCCTCCCACTGCCAGTCTGTCTTCACCGCCGCGCAGACCTGGGGCCGCCCGTCACAGAGAGGAAGGGCTCCTTGGCCTCAGCCACCGTGACCCCCTCCTTTGTGTCACATTCGCAGAGAGTTGGAGGGATTATGAGTCATCGTAAACAGGGAGTCAGAGCGCCTTGCACCAGCGGCGCATCCATTAAGTTCCAGTTACCCTCGAGGGGATTGTTTTTTCCACAAAACCCAGATGCAGTGAGAGCCTGGTTTGTACCACCTCTAAGAATCGAGGCTTCCCCCTAGTCTGGATGGTGGCCTTTGGGCAGTGACCTGTGTATCCACAGCTGAAAACCAGACTTGACAGTTACAGATTCAGGCCGCTGTGGGAGCGGGAAGGTCAAACACCCAGGAGGAACTGATGAATGTGAATTTCCCTCTAAGAACTGCTTTGCCTGGCCGGGCGTGATGGCTCACGTCCGTAATCCCAGCATTTTGGGAGGCCGAGGTGGATGGATCACGAGGTCAGGAGTTGGAGACCAGCCTGACCAACATGGTGAAATCCCGTCTCTACTAAAAATACAAAAAGCCGGGCCTGGTGGCGCGCACCTGTAATCCCAGCTACTTGGGAGGCTGAGACAGGAGAATCGCCTGAACCCGGGAGGCAGAGGTTTCAGGAGCCGAGATCGCGCCATTGCACTCCAGCCTGGGCAACAGAATGAGACTCTCTCTCTCAAAAAAAAAAAAGAACTGCTTTGCCTGACGTTGTTCCCATGCAGGTGGCTTTGCTAGAAGTGGGTGAGGAAGGCTCATGCCTATCTGGTTCCAGAACCACCACTTAAATTTCCCACTCACTGAGTGCCCGCTGTGTACATGGCAGTGAGCCTTTGGCTCATGCTTCATTTTCATGTACAACGTGGGTAAGACAGTTATGGAGTTGAACCATGTGAAACTGATGTTTATGTAGGTGAAAACCAACTGAAAACACATTTACAGGTTCAACCTCTGATACAACCCTCCTTTTAACAAATCAAAAAAAGCAGACCTAGGGATTATAGCAAGGGACTTGGATCAATGATGAGGCCGAGGCTAAGTCCTAAAACAGAGGAATCTGCATTAGATGAGCCCTGGGGCGGAAGTTGCCCCCATGGACTTCCCTCTCATCCCAGAAGTGTGGTATCTGACAGCTCGTAGTGGTGGAGTTATTTAGGCTATGAACAACCGTGTTCCTTCAGCAACAGATAGCTCCCCACCTCTTTTACTGTTTCTTTTTTTTTTTTTTTTTTTTTTGAGACTGAGTCTCTCTGTTGCCCAGGCTGGAGTGCAGTGGCGCGATCTCAGCTCACTGCAGCCTCCACCTCCCGGGTTCAAGCGATTCTTCTGCCTCAGCCTTGCAAGCAGCGGGGACTACAGGCGTGCACCACCATGCCTGGCTAATTTTTGTGGGTTTTTTTTGTTTTTTTTGTTTTTTTTTTGAGACGGAGTCTCACTCTGTCGCCCAGGCTGGAGTGCAGTGGCCGAATCTCAGCTCACTCCAAGCTCCGCCTCCCAGGTTTAGGCCATTCTCCTGCCTCAGCCTCCCGAGTAGCTGGGACTACAGGCGCCCGCCACCTCGCCCGGCTAGTTTTTTGTATTTTTTAGTAGAGACAGGGTTTCACCATGTTAGCCAGGATGGTCTCGATGTCCTGACCTCGTGATCCGCCCGTCTCGGCCTCCCAAAGTGCTGGGATTACAGGCTTGAGCCACCGCGCCCGGCCTAATTTTTGTATTTTTAGTAGAGACAGGGTTTCACCATATTGGCCAGGCTGGTCTTGAACCCTGACCTCATGATCCGCTCACCTCGGCCTCCCAAAA